TAGGTTAATAAGATGAGTAGGTATAAATTGAATGTTATGATGAATATAAAAAATATTGTTATATGTTGTCATTAATTAACTAGGTGAGAAAGCTATCACAAATCAAAAAGTGAATAATAAATAATCTAAGAGGTATCATATGTAATTTTTATTCACAATTTTGTAACCTTTTTATTCTACTTGATTTTATAAAACTTTGTAGTTATTAAATAATCATAATAAACTTCACTATTTCTATCTTTTTCATATTACAACTAAAAACCTCTACAGCTTTAAAAGATGTTTAAATCTTTTTTATATTAAATCATAAAATTTTAATTTAAAATTAAAATAATAGAAGAAAATAAATCATAAAAAATATTATTATTAACAAGGATTATTTAAATTTCATTACAATAATTGAATAAAAATCCAATCATGTGAATTAGTTATTAATAAGAACATAATATTTTTTTAATTAATTCTTAAAAATTAGTTTAACTGTTTTATTGTTTCTTATTTATTATTTATGTGATTATGTTTTCATTAAATTCCATGTAACAAAAATTAAAATATGGAATGATAATTTAGTTTCTTATTTATTGTTAGAGTATAATTTTATTCTAAAACTTTCTTCATATATATTATATTCATTTAAGATCTCAAATAATGTTAATAATTACTTTTGGCAAACGTGTTTATAATGGTTAAAAAGTTTACATAAAAAATTAAGAAGACTGAGTCAAATATCATGAGTTGTCAATCCATTAACAGAGAAAGTACTTACATGTTGTTACTATTGAAAGTTGTGAAATTACAGCATGGCAAAACAACAGTGAAACTATAATTAGGTTAAGTCCTTCGAAAAAGACAAACAAAATTCAAAGTTCACCTTTCCAAAAGTTAAATTTAGAGGGAGAGAAAAGTACCGTGATGGTGTTCAAAAATCAAATTCATCACTCAATACAAAACTTATTTATTTTCTGTTACTATATTGATTGCATATATTAAATTTCTTATATGGATTGATTCTATTCATTCTGATAAAATATCACTTTAACAAAGTTTATTAAGTATTTTTATTTAAAAATAATCTAAACTTTTAGGAATAATATTCATATATTATGATTAATATCATCAGTTTAATATTATAGTTATTATTTATAATAAAATATCAAGTATTATGTTATTATATATTTTAAATAAGTATTATTTCTAATTATAACATATGTTCATATTATAAATTAATCTTATAAATATAATTAATATTTTTTAAGTAATACTTATCTAATAATTACTTATATTCATTATATCTAATATCTTTTATAGATTTGAGTTCTAAAAAGTTTTTTACAAGTAAGTCTCTTAGCTCTAATAAAACTTTAATTTACAAAAAAGATAATACTTCAAACATACATATGATTAATCCTCATTAGAGCTATCAAAATGGATCATAACTAGCAGGCCAACTCGGTCCACCACGGGTTTAAGTTGGATTGGATTTGAAAAAATTATATTTTTTTTATGTGGGTCAGATTTCAACCCGGCTCATGCGGGTTAAACCCGTGGTGGGCCGAGTTGGCCCACCAACCTAATTTTATTTTATTAAAATTTAATTTTAATTTTATAAAAAATATTTATTATTTTGTTTTTGTTTGAAAAAATTATTTGAGTTCTTTATTTTCAAAATTAATTAAATACTCATGTTAGGAGTGAAATTTGCGAATGAAGTTTGTTTAGATTTGAATTATAGAAAGTTTGTAATTTTTTTATTTTAAAAAAATTGTAATTAAGTGAGTCAACCCGTTTACCCACCAACCTGTGGTGGGTCGAGCCGGATTCAAATTTTTCTGGCTCATTAATAAAGGAGTCGGATTGGATTGACTCACTAAGTGACCAATCCGTAGTGGTCCGGATCGAGTGACCCGTTTTGACAACTCTAATCCTAATAATATCATTACACAAACTTAGAATTAAAATAAATTTATGATTGCATTTATCTATAGTAATAATTCTTTACTATAAAGGTTAGAAGAGGACAAAATTATTGCTCATTTCATTCTCTACATTTTCCTTTTTACATATGTACATGAAAAGAATAAAATTAAGACTATATAAGGTACTTAGATATAATGCTCAAAAAATTATCCACGATAACACAATAATTTAGGAAATTAAATGATAGAGAACAGGTCATAGAATGTAAGATTAGAGTTTATTAAAATGTGTAAAAAAGAAAAAGATCTAAGAAAAAGAGAGAAGTGATATGAAAATTGTAAATAGGTTGAAATGTTTAAGAGGAATGATTGAGATGATTAGGGTCGTTGGTGGTCCTGAGATAGCTGACAAGTACGTGTGTGAGTTTACCCCTTTCAGCCTTCCTTTCCATTTTACCGTCATCACTGTCATGCTTCAGAATTCAGATTCACTCAACTTTTTCTGTCACTTTCTCTCTCACTCACTCATTCATTCATTCATTCATTCATTAATGCAATAATTAATAATTAATAAATTAATCACCCACATGTTTTAGACTCTTCTTAATCATCTCAATAATTGAAGTGATTATGCAGATGTGAGAGACTGGTTATCACTTTTGGGTCATCCACAGGTTGAAGAATTCATCAGCTTATTATGACCCTTTTGCTTAGATTGGTGGAAAATGAAACTTAATATTTGACTTTGATGGTTTGTGATTTGTACTATTGATGGGTGTGAAAGGGAAAGAAAGGTTGATAGTGGAAAAAGGGAGCAAGACTTTGAATTTGAAGACACTGTTGCAATAACCAATCTTTGACTTTGCCATATGAAAGGGGACCAAACTTCCTAAACTTTGTGCTGCTGGAAAAATCCCCATACTCATACTCTGTCATATTATGCTCTACTTGCATTTCCATATCAAAATCAAAACCTATCATCTACCTTTTCTCATCACTCTCATGTCTATTATATTATATTTTCTGACCCAGAAAATTTATCAGAATTCTCTCAAAATTTATAACTTTTAAAAATAATTTTTTAATTTTATAAAATCAATTCGTACAATAAAATTTATATTTATTTATATATTATAAATTTTAGTACCGTCAAAATGGATTAGAACTCATATGGTAATCTGGCCCACCACGAGTTTGGATCGGGTTGGGTTGGGTTTGAAAAAAATATAATTTTTTTATACAGATCTATTTTCAACTAAACTCACTTTCTCACTTAAAATTACCTGTGATCCGAGTTTGCTCACCAACCCACCTAGTTTAATTATTTATTATTTTATGTTTTAATATTATTAATTAACACTTTTTTATTGTATTATAGATGGGACAAAGAAAAAATACTTCAATAGAGCAAAATATTATAAATTTATCTATTCAAGACTCTAATCGATTAAATGGATAAAGGAGACAAAAATTATCAATATTAGAAACTTATTTTGTTCGATTTTTATGATTTTTGGATTGTATGATACTTTTTAATTTTAAAATGTCTTTGGAGTTTAATATTATTTTAAAGTGAAATTTATTTAAATTTGGATTACAAAAACTTTTCTATTTTTTTTTATTTGAAAAAAAAAATTGTAATTAAATAAGTCAGTGAATCAATCCATTTAACCCACCGGTGGGTCATATTGGATTTGAATTTTTTCGATTTGCTAATAACTCACTAAATGACCAACCAATGATAATCAAGTCTGAGTCAGATCAGATTATCCGTTTTGACACTACTTGATAAATTTATTTTATTTCTAATTTATATAAGATTTTTAACCATTGTAAATTATTTATAAATATTTTTTTCAGATTATTCATATTGTAAATACGAGTATGTTCTCTTTATCAACTTCAATCGAATTTTGCAGACATGTCATGAGTATTATTATTTTAGTGTCTTTTTCTATCTTTTCAATTTCTCTTTCTTTTGGTTGATAGTATATCACTATAACAGTAGAAATAACGTATGAGTCATACATCATGATTTGAACTGCTCGTATGTACGTGGACAGTATCTCATTGGTCACCATTTATTATATCTTTTTCCAAATTTTGATGTTTTCGTTTTCATCTTTAATTATATCTCCATCAAAAACATTTTCGTTATTAAATATTTCTTTCATCAATTTATTTCTTATTCAATCATCTAAATATTATGAAAATATCATTTAGTATTCTGTTTTTAGAGCCTAATTAAGAAATTGGTAATGTTCAAGAAAGATTAGTCAAAAAACTCCAAAACATTTAGAAGTTGTTACCTGATTTATTGACATTTTGGTTTTGTTTAGATTTATTATACACTTTCTTTTTTTATCTCTTTTCTTATCACATCACATAACTTATAAACCTATTATTTTTATTATGGTATTAATGTACCTTTTTCATGTCCATAAATCACTATTCATCTATAAATATCACTACTCATCTATAAACTTTTTCCTTTGAGCAAATTTGGTTAAAACATTTTTTTTTATGTTTATATGCACACCGTTTAGGAAGACTAATGAGAAACTATATACATATTTAGAACAACTTAATAAATTTCCATAATACATAAAGATTGAAAGAAATATGTATCGGAATTAGAAAGGCTAAGTAAAAAACGAAAACTATACAGAATACCTATTTAGTGAAAAATATTGTTTTAAATAATAGAAATCAAATGCAGAAAATTGAAGATTTGGAAGACGAAATCCTCAATTAAAGCTTACAATATTGTCACTCGATTTTCAGATGGAACATGAGACTTTTCCAAAATAAGTACTTCGATTTGTAATCATTATTTTAGATTTGGTCTGTGGTATGTTTTATTGCAGCAATTTATGTTGATGTTTTTGTAACAACACATAGTAAGGTAGGGAGTAAGTAAAAATTAAATATCACAGATTTGGACAAAAAAGCACTGTACTTTTAGTTCTTACTTACACATCATGCTTGCTTTTGATTTAATTCCTACACTTTATAGTACACAGTCTTGTAATATTAACAAACATTCGGGACAAACTAGAAATGATTGCATAAGTAGAGAGCAAGTGAAGTTTAATTTTTTTGTATACCCAAATTAAAAATTAGTGGTCTCAAATGATAGACTTCAAACTTTGAACAGAAAGATTTGGAATTGAGTGTGTGAAGCAGTGAAACAGTAGATCTGTGATTGGTGAGAATGAAAGAAAAAAAAAGGTTTACTGCATCAAATTGCAGAATAAAAAAAAGGGCAGAAAAGAGCATTTAGATTTAGTGCATGATGATGTTTTGGTTGGTTGTGATTACATGAACATTTGGGTCCTAAGTCCTAAATTCAATGATGTATTTGTTTGTTTATTTAAGAAGGATTAGAGAGATGATTGAGATGGATAAGCGCAGTGGTTAACAGAGCAGAATGCATTAGAAAGCTGCAAAGGGACACATTGTATTAAAAGAGAGGGACCAATTGGAGTCAGACCAGAATCATGTAGTGGCCCTATGATCTTTACATAAAGTCACATTTCATTGTCAATCCACACAACAAAAAATAAAAAAGATACAGAGAGGTTCAATGGCTTATTGAAAAGTGGTAGGGTCACTCACTAATTTTCTTTAATTCATCAATTCTATATAGTAAATGGGCATGAAACCAGTGTAGGAAAGCAAGGTTTATTGATTGATTGATTCTAAACAACTGTTTGTTTGTTTTTTACTGTTGAATGGTTTGAATGGTTTGAATGATTTGAAGCCTTGCATTGCATAGTAGCAGTACATACAATAAGCTACATACATACAAATCAGATTTGAAGGCTAATGTTACCCAAATGTGACAATATTTTCTCAACTGAGTGGGGTATAGTGTTGTCCTAAGTACTATATGGATTTTCTACCATTTGGACGAGGTGAGTTTTTGTCACTAAGAGCAAATTGTACCTGTGTGCCATTTCTGAATCTGAATTGTACTCCATCAACTCCCTTGCATCCTCATGCTTTATCTTTTCTACACTGTCCTCTCAACCCTTGAGTGATTCACTTTCTGCATTAAATTTCACTCTCACGTAACTTTCAATTATCTTTATTGGGGAAACTCTGATACCACACGGGTAACATTATTTTTGCACTTCAATGTGTTTTTAGATAAAGGGTAATGATATCCTAATGTCACTAAAATGTTTGTTTAGTGAACAATGTTTTCTTTCCTTGACAAGTAGGGGTCAAAAGTGAGTATAGTATGGAACTATTCCTACAAAACATGACAAGATAAAAGGTATTGTGACTAAAGAGAGAAAATAAGCATTAAGAGAAGACAGAATTCAAGTGAGCTGCTATATTTTATTGTAAGCACAGATGCTTGTCATTAGTGGCACATTCAAATCAGGTGGTCATTAGTGGTTTCTTTCAATGAAACGTGGGTCTGTCTAGCTCTATGAGGAGACTTACATTTATGGAAGTTGTAGTACGAGAGAAGAAACAGCTACTGAAGATGGTAATTTATGTCAAAATGAATAACCAAACTCAACTAAACAATCACTTGAGATAGTTCCAGAATGGCAATTATGCACATTAAAACTGTGAAATTGTAAAGCCTCGAACTTTATAGTGTGGCATGTCATGTTCTGGGTACTTTCTGAGCTCCCCAATTTCAGCTGGAAAAAGGGAAAGTTCAAAACTGCTGAACTTCACTTGAGAGTTAAATATTGATTGGTGGGTGACAGTCATATAAATGAAGTGAGAAACTGTAGTTTGTTGGTTGTTGCAAAGCAAGCAAGCACAATATTTGAGGGTGTGGAAGAAGATAAGCAAAGCCTAAGGAGAGGGAGCAGAGTGCATTTATTGTGGAGTCAAATTACAAGAGTAGTAACCATTAATAGAAACAAAAATCTAATCATTAAAGTATCATTAGTTGTGACTTGGCCAAATTAAGATTAACTTTTGTCCTGAAAGGACAGCACTATGTTTTTATGGGAGCAATGCAATGCAATGCAATGCTGCCATAAATCATAATCTCTCGCCTTATCACATTCTCTCACTCTTTCACTACCAGACACTCTCGTACACACACGTTCACAAGGCCAACTGGCAATATTGATTCATTCGCATAAAGATAAAATAAGAAGGCGAAAGGATTGTGCAAAAGGACAGAACCAGTTTACAATTCTTAGACAATTCCTCTCTCTTTCTACCTCTTTCTTATTTTATTTTTTTTATATCAATTCTCCTTTTACTCCTTTTCTTACTTGTGCTTAGAAGAAGAACTACATAAGAAGCACAAGGGGTAAGAGACACAGGGAAATCAAAGCAGCTGCTACCTCTAGCTCCTCTACCACTATATGATCTTTCATTTCATCCTTCGACTTTTACTTGATCATATTTCATATCAGACATATTGAAAATCTATTAAAACAACACCAACCTTGGTGCCTGAAGAAAGAAGGGTCGAATGGATTATCAAATATCTTCTGCTTCACAATACAGTAATGGTAGTGAATCCGGTTGGACCCATTATTTGGACCAATCTTCTCTTTCTGAAAATTACTTCCGGAGGAGAAGTGGGGTGGTGGAGGATGAAGGAAAGGGAGCAAGAATGGAGGAGTCTGAGGAAGATTTATCCATGGTATCTGATGCTTCTTCTGGACCTCCACATTATGATAACGAATACTGTTGTCAGAATTGGTATCCTTGCCTTTCTTCTACAACCAAAGAATCCCAAAAGAAGAAGGTCAAAGAATATGGCAGAAGTCAACAGTCTTCACCTCTCGATGACACTGCAAGCTCTCCGTTTTTCAACTATCCCGTGGAGAGTCACAAGGTTAATCTCACTCACAAAAATATGTTTATGCTTAGCAGCCAAAAAGAAAAAATGCTAATGGGTTGGTTCTTTTGTTCTTGAGCAGAAGCAAGACAGTTTCCCCGGGAATGGAGAAGTTGAGAGTGCATTGGATTTTTCTCAATGCGTATCTGCGACAAGAATAAAGGTAAAACTCAAGTTCTAGTGCTTGATTATTTCATCAAATTTTTCTGTTATGTTATAAGTAAAAGCATTAAGCCTTTGCATGGAGAATTTTCATTGCGTTGAGCTAAATTTATTGATCTGTGCAGAAAAAGACAAAATTCAAGAAGCACTTGAGTTTCTTGGAGAGGTCTATAGCTGGAAAGCTTGCCACAGAGGAAGAAGGTGAAGATCCATTTGGGTTGAAAATTTAGTTTTATTACTGAGAGAAGAGTGATGGGAAAATATGCTAACAAGGGTTTTGTTATGTGTTCTGATCAGGTGGTTTTGATGAAGAAGGGAAATGAGTTATTTTGCTGTAGACCTTGTCACTGTTGTTGCTGCATTGCTGTGGAAAGAGAGACCAGAAGAATGGAGGTCAAAGGAGAGAAGCTACTCAATGTCTGGCAAAAGGAACTCCTTTTTCTTTTTCTTTTTCTTTTTTATTTTTTCAAAATATTTTAAAAAAGAAAAGCTCTTATGTTGTAATTTTACCTTTTTTTTTTTTTTTAATCTACTCGTATGCTACTGCCTATGGTATTGGGAGCAACCTAAGAGAATATAGGAAACTGAATAAGGTTTGTGTCCTCCATTTTCTTTTGTTGTCATTAGTGGCAGGCATCTCTGGGACCTCCCAGGTCGTGTTCTTTTGATACTATTCACAAACTCTTCCTCATATGGTATTCACTATTCCTCCTTTTTCTCCAGTAATAATAAACACAAAAGAAAACCGAATTAACTAATTCACCACTGAACACAGCTAGCTAGCAAGAGAGCCAGAGAAAAAGGAAAAGTCATTTCACCACTCACCAGCATGAAGCATATATCAAATCCAAAGGCCTAGTAATGAGTAGTGACCCACTTTAATAAATTGAGGCAGTGACAGCCTAGCTCACAACCACTTTGGATGGGTAAATGTGGCAAGGTAACTTAGCTTCACACCCAAAATGGACAATGTATCCAAATCAAACCAAAAGCCAACCTTCATTTTAGGAGCAACCCCACCACCTTGTGAAAACTATTCCACTTCAATTCTCATCCATTCATAACACTCCCTACAATTATTGAACTTTTGTTTTGGTAGGATATATATCAAACAAAATCTTTTATTCGTAGTTTTTATATCCTCAGACTCCAACCAACTGCATGGATCTACTACAAAATAACTCAGATATTTGGAAACGGACAAACTCATTATTATTTCACCTGTCATTCTTACTTTATTGTGTACTATTTAATTAATATTTGTAATTGGAAATTACAGTGTTACAACTCCTCCAATGCCAACCATGGAACACGCGAGATTTAGAATGGAAGACTCGCGTAGCTTTCCAACATATACACCGAATTAGAAAACGCTTAATAAAAAAAATTAAGTTGCTTCCAGATTCTCCCAAAAACATTCCTACGCAATTTAAATATATTCTTTGATAGATGTAAACATTAAAATCATTCTTCTAACTTTAAGATGTGATAAACGAGAGGTTTAAATCAGACTGAGCGCTTGCTGCAACTATTGCATTGAAAGCTTTGGATACACGCTCTCTCCTTCCAATCAACGCCTCAACTTGAGTTTTCGGAAAATAGTTTCAGTTTACTCTATTTATTTACTCCATCCGATCAATACACTAGGCATGTGTAACAGTCTTTGTGCAATTTCCAAAATACTTCAGAGAAAATCAAGGAAAAGAAAATAACTTTCAAATTAAAAGGAAATAAATACAACTAAATCGCCAAAAATCTTGTTATGAAACGAACTGCTTTTATATGAAATTTTAATTACATATTAATCATGTAGTATGAGAAGTGTCAAGATTATAATACATAAAAGCAGCCAAAATTAATCTGGGGATTTGATTAAGAGTAAAAGTACAGAACTTGTGTAAATAAAAAAATGTAAATTGAAGCTATTACTAATGGAACAAAATTGATTATGATACAACAATACATGATTCTGATTCCCCCCAACCAGGACCGAGACAAACAAGGACAAAAAAGGGACTTTTATCCCATCATATCCCCTCAAAGCGGAGAACATTCTCTCAGCTGCTTAAAGCTCATGTCCCATATATATGTCTGTGGACTGGTGGGGCTTCCTAAACTCTTTACACTTGCACCATGGTTTTGTCTACTATAACTAACTAATTTTTTGATGTATGAGCTAAAAATAAAACAGGATTCTCTAATGGTAGAACTTGAAAGTTCCTCCTAACAGGTTTATCTATTGGTAAAACTTCAAACTTCCTCTTAGTCCCCTTCTTAACACTAAAATATTGTAAATTCCCAGACCTTGAATCTTGTGTGTTAAGCATATCACCTTCATCTTGCTCCACAGGCAACCCAAAGTCAATCAAGCACATTGCCTGAACATTGAATAATTTTCAACCTGACAATGATTACAAATAAAAATAAAAACAAAATATTTCGTAGTTCTAGTTTGAATTCACAATTCTGAAACAACTGACTTAAGTGTTTAACTTTCCATGTATCATGTGTCATTAGGGGGGTTTTTTTTTTTTAATTTAAAACAAAGGCAGGAATATCACATTACTGTCTGATTGTTGAAGATACCAGGAAAAACAGAGAAAAACCTAGAAGCACATCTTTCTTTTTCTTTCTTTCGATATCTAAAAACTATCACAGAATTTAGCTTCACAGGACAACAAAATTTTAAAGAATAAATACCTCAAACCTTAATGGGCACGAGTAATAAGTATAGGGAGCTTTAAATTACACATGTATAAAAATACTATTTTTCATAAAACATGCTCATTTCATATTTGATTTTTATCATTCCACAAATGGAAGTTGTCAACTTCGTATTAACAAGGAAAAAGAAAAGGGCATATTTACCTAGAGCTGTAAACAACAACCGAAGATGATATTGCCGTTGGAGAAGATGAAGCTTCTGCTGGAGGGAATGAAAGCCCAATAACTTCACCAGGAAATTCCTGGTATCTCCTAGGAAGGGCAAAAGTATGTCGTTTGGACCATTCTCCTAACTGCTTGGCCTCTACGTCAAGTGCATACACTTGATTTGAGGATGTTGTAACTATCAGAACGTTGTCATTTTGGGGTGGAAATCCACCAGCTGTAACAGAGGCGCCATCTAATCTTGAAATGAACCAGTGCTGGCTGCAACACAAGCAAGTTTATTATATAAAATACAACAAAATATCAACATCAAATAATTCATGCAATCAATGCCAGCTTGTAAAGAAAAGCACACCATACAAAAGAGGGGAAAGAATAACACCCTTTGCTATTTTACAACACCTAATCAGAATACAACGTTATACTACAGAACTACCACGGCAAAAGCAACAAACATCCAATCAAAGCTCTATCAAGATTGTCCAACAACTATTTGTCTCCCCAAAAGTTTATTTTATTTTCAAATTTCTTATCAAAAACAAAATGACCAACTATCTTCAGAGAACAGTAATGGGTATCCAGAATTAAAAAGGAAAGATTAAGCAAATTAGAAATCTCACCTTTGTATCTCCAGGTTAAATACATATATATCCCCAAAAACTTCACAGCTTTTCCCAACCATTTGCCCATCAGAACTAGAAAACAATCTCGTTATCGGTGGCTCAGTTGGAGGCAAATCCTCATCCTGAGACTCACAACGTGGTGTAAAAGTATGCACTAATTCAGACTTCCCAACATCCACAACCTACAGCATTTAAAACCATTATGTTTCAACAAATCAAACAGATTTTTACAGCCTAAGATCATATAATTTAAACAATTTGGAAATCACTGAAACAAATCAAACAATAATCACTTAGAAGTTAACTGAAACAAACCCTATAATTTGAAAAACCTGATAGCAAAACAAGAACAAGTGCTCATGCATTTGCAAGTGGAGAGGACACTGTTCAAAAGATAAAAGTATCAACAAAACATACATTTTTACAACTTAAGATCACAGTATTTTAACATATAATTTGGAAATTACTGATAAGTAATCAATAAATAAACTACATGCTATAAAAACCAGTGTACAGTAAAGAATAACGCTATTCAATAATTGATCATGCATTTGCAGGCAGGATGGAAACTGTTCAATAAATCACTAATAATAAAGAGTTCTGTAGATTTTTCTAGGAGGATGTGGCAGATTCACAGTTGGTTAGACTACAGATCCTATCTGTAGAGCAATAACAAACAAGTACATTCCCTAAAAACATTCTTCATTTTAGGTGGCAAAAAGTAACCAGGCCAACCAAGAACGGACCCAGAATCAGAGCACATCAATCACAATAACAACCATATTGACAAGTTCAGGAATTCTGACAAGCAGAAAGAACTTCCATTATTAAAACAATTAACTATAACAGATTTGAAGCATGTCACTGGCTTACATATATCCTTCTGTCGCAACCTGCTACTATCAACTTGGAAGAGTCATGAGAAAAAACCATAGAGTGGGCAAATGGTAACCTTTGAGGAAGCTCCCTTCTATCAACATTCCATGTGATTTTGCCCATTTCACACCTTCTCAGTTCCAAAAGACTAGAGGGCCTTTTATGATAGAGTATGCAAATAGCGCCCCTGATTAGAAATGGTGCTGCAAATTGCTTACGAGATGCCTTCCTCTTGACTCGAGCACTATTTCGGTCTTCGTTAGGGCTCCCAGGGGTGGAACCATTTTTAAGCGGTAGCAAATGAACATCTATGTGCTTTGATGATTGGACTAAAAGCATTTTAGATTGATTAAAAATAGAATTGAGTACTAGTTGAATGGGTGTCCTTTGGGGTGCAGGACAGATGTCATGAGGAGGGAACTGGGTGAATTCTTTGACTGGGTAGGCAAAAAGTTTTGTGTCATCCCCTGCTGATATAAGCATGGGAACCCCCAAATGAGCCCACTTATGGTAACTAAAATCAGCAGGCTTCCTTGCACCTCGAACTGCTCTTAATCCTCTTCCCTGGGTTAATTTCAGGGTTAATGTCACCTACACAAAAAAGCACAGATAAGTAACAGAAAATGGAAAATATATAAAAAAAAACTAAAGATACTGCTTATTTGGATAAACTTTTCAACAGCATAAAAACTTGTTTTTGGTATTCAAAAGAACTTCTGGTTGTACTGAAAGATTCACCTTAAGAAAATCAAGAAAAACAAACGTTAATTTTTCTCATTAGAACAAAAAACTTAACAAGCTCATCCAAACAAGCTAATAAATACTTGAAGAATAAATAACAAAATATATAGACCTTCAGGACTTATCGGTACAGCAACAGAAAGGGCCCTGATGTCGTGTGTATGAGACCTTACATGGTGAATATAGATCCATCTCTTCGTCATAGCAGAATAGTTGATATCATCAGCTGATGCTACCTTACTATCAGAAAGCTTGTAAAGAATAACCTGCAAACAAAAATAAACTAAACCAACATTATATACTTCACACCAGTAACAGACAAAATCAGGATAACACTAACTGAATCAAAAATTAATGAACAAACAATAACAGAACCATATGATATTACACATTACTCTTGAGAATATACAAAATTCAGTCAATAAATGAGACACCGTAAAAAATGACCAACAGTGGACCTTGACTACGAACAATTTGAGAAACAGCTACACATGCATTAGAAGATGCAGCAAATGTAACACATAACCAAACACCTATATATTTAGCAATTATATGACAGGAATATATAAAATTTGCCTGTAAAGTAATGACTTGCTTTTGAATAAAAATAGAAATACAAGACTAAGCTAAAGCTGTACGCTATTTTAACATGCTTATTTAATCTTCCTTTTAAACTGTCAAACTAAATCATGCTTATGTAATCTCCAAGAATAAATCCAATGCACGCAGTGCACATTACAAAAGTATACTAAAGGCTTGTAACGGTCATATCAAAACCAAAATGACTATAAATATTCAGTGTTTTTCAAACATCATTGTTTTTTTAACTTCTATTGAGGAAATACACGCACACATTAACCCAAAAAGGTCATGGTATCATCATCTTCAATCCTTTGGCAGAAGTTCAATCACTTCATATTGCCAAACATCCTACACAACAAAATGGAACTACCTACCCCCTCCTCTCTAGTGGTTCAACTTCTTTTTTTGTTTTTCATTTTATTCGTAAGAACTATCCTAATTTAAGACCATTTAACTCTTACTATATTTGTCATTATGTGCATTGGTGTATACCGACAATGCAACAACAAACATCATATTCATTTCCCTGTGGCCAACACCACATATTAATGGACAAGATAAAAAGTGCAGAGGAAAATATACAGTCACTACTTGAATTTGACCTCATCAATGACAAGACAACAGTTTAAAATAACATAGTATAAATCTTGTGATGAAAATAATGCGTGAGGTCAAAAATAAATTTCCAAATAAAATCAATTGCAAACATAAGCAGCGAATTTCAATTTCAAAGATGAATAATTATGGTTGCACAAGAATTGACAAATCATAAAACGCAGTACCTGACCATCAGAACCAGCAGAAAACACCCTATTGTGATTAGGAGCTGCTGCCAGAGCAAATACATGTCCCTTATGTAAAGAATGTGCTTGCAAGAGAGTTCCATGCTGGCTGTCCCAAAACTGAACACTACCACTGCTGTCCGCACTGACAAGTGTACCATTCCTAGAAAATGACTATCTAATGAGCGACAAGAGTTTGCAAATTGTAAGAAATCTACCTTCAAAATTATAACAAGATGGTGTACGTGGATTGCAGATGTATGCATATTAGTCAAATTCAAAGACAATGCAACAAAGCATGTTTCCACTATCACCTTAGAGACAGTAATGACCATATGCAAAGTTCTTGCCCACTGCCCAACCCTCCAAGTCCAGCTGTAATCCTGTAGACTTCATTGCCCAATGTAGCATTCCAGCAACGTATCAAACTGTTAAGAATCAGACAAGAAAAATAAATAAGGGTACTCTCGGACACTACTATTGAAATGTAGATTATGTTGCTAGACAGATCTAGTGTTTTTTTTTAGAAAATGGAGCATACAATTTGGCTTTTATAAAGGGAAAATAAACGGTGCTAAGATTCAAGCAACATTAGCAGCACACATACATACCCATCACTGCTTCCTGAATATATGTAGTTAGCATCTGCACTCCAAGTCACACTTAAAACTCGTCCTGTAAAACGCAATAATAACAAACACTTAATGGCCATAACACATAACCAACGAGAAACTGTTACACGACAAATAACTCGAGGAAAATCTCACCTGTGACAGGGGGAAAAGATTTTACAAGAATAAATTCATCAGAGTCAGAGATTTCATAGACTTTCAATCGTCCATCATTAAAACCAATCGCCACGCGTGGAAGCTCCCTATATGATCGCTCAAGAGGACCAGGCGAATGAGAATCATCATCACTATCACTGTTCTCATGATCATCAAAATCATGGAAACCGTTCCCATTTTGGGTCACCATAGGTCCATCCTTACTTTCATCTTTTACCTGGTCATCAATAGGAAACCTCATTGCCATTTGCCATATTGAGACTTCAGATTTCAGCACCGTCTGCAAGCACCAAGTGTGCAATTGGTAAACCAAAACAACAAACTCAAATAATAATAAAAAACTAAGAAAACCAACCAACCATTCTTAACACCATAAACATTACCCAGACAAAGCCAAGAACATATTCACTAAAACAACCAAGAACCACACCTATACTAATCCTCTGAGGACTAGGACTGTCTATTAATTGGTGTTTCAGTTAGTAATGGTCCTCATTCTACAGCAAAAAAAAAAACACAGTAAAAAATGTTCCCACTTCGATCATATAATTGCCAAATAAAATAACTCCATTATATGTTATACCTCCTGTTTCAAGTTGAAAAGATCCCACCTAGAGACCGTGCCATCGACTTTGGAGGAAAACAAACGACTTCCGTCGACACCGCCAGGGCACCAAATAAGCGATGTCACTCTTCCCTCAGGGCTTCCGTGAATAGTCTATAATTGCCAAACCAATGCATCAGAACTCATTCAAACACTCACAAGGAAGAGAATCGAGATAAAAAAGGATCGCCGTAAGTTATGAGTTAGGTAGTTACCAGCTGACAGTGCCAGCCGATGGCGCCGGGAGAAACGAGCCAGATTTCAAGAGAGCCATCTTGGCGAGCGGCGGCAACTCGTGCGCCATCGATGGTGGTGGCAAGCGCCAACACCGGCGAAGGTCTCCAATCGATGGACCTTACCCTGTAGGTTTCGACCATGGAGCCTCACCCCCCAAAACGGTGCGCAACACGCAATTTGGAGAGTGGTTGGTTAGTGAGAGAAGAAGAGGAAGCCAAAGAGAATGAGAAAGAGAAAGAAAAAGAGGTTTAGGGTAGAAGAGAAACCCAAGGCGGCCATAGTTATTAGTTAGGTTTTGTTTTGAGGTTTAAGCGCGGACTTGGATTGGATTGGACTGATCCGTATATGTTCCGGGTTTGGTATCTCAGGCCCATCAAGCTTCTCTCACTCTTTTTTTTGTTTCATCTTTTTATTTTTAAAGTTCAAATAATAAGATATACCTTGTTTCTTATATTTAAAGAGTAAATTACTTTTTTATGATAATTGTTGTGATTTAAGAGAGATTTTCTCAATTATTTGTCTAACAAAATTGTGCATTAAAAATATAGTTAATGATTATGATAATTTGTTAATAATTTGTTTGATAGCAATGAAATGATAAAATAAAATAATTATTAGATTATTGTTGTAGAATTATTATCATATTTGTCTTCTGATAGGATTAGTTTGTTTTATCTTATCTTTCTAAAGAAATTTAGTTAAATAACAAGATGATATAATCTTTTTGTATATATGATATTTATAACAGATAATATATTACATAATATGTAATCATTTTGACACTTAACATTTAAGTTTAATTTTATTTAATATGTTTTGAATTAATATGTTCAATATAATATCAAAACGTTCGGATAGTGTCCGTGTTTGATATTAGAAGAAAACATCTGTGATTATATTATACTTATATTATACTTGCCTTAGAATAAAAAATTTTAAAGCATTTGAAAATCATGTTCTTACAAAAATGATTAATATTTAATAATGCAAAATTAATTATAAAGTTTATTAGTTTCTTTCTGAACGGTAAATTTCTTTTCTATAAATTACAACCGGCCCCGTCACAGGGGTGGTAGACAGGCTGGTCTACCTCTCTTTTTATTTATTTTTTAAAAATTTATTTTTTAAAAAATTTAAAAAATAATATATTAAACTTTTTTTTGGATATATTTATAAATGAATATTTAAGGCTTGGTTATATAAATATTTTATAAATTTTAATTGATTAATTAATATTTTTAATTTAATAAATTAAAATAATTATTACATTTATATATTAAATTATTTTGATATACTAATAATTACAATGATAAATGTTAATGATTTAAACTATAACAGTATTATATATTTATATTTTTACAAAAATATAATAAAGAAAATTTAATATTTTTATTATTTTAATTCTAGCTTTTAAATTAAAAAATATAAAAATATAAACAAACCATCCAATAGGACAAAAGTCAGTTAGATTACCTTTAACCTGCCAGTGAACTAAGTTAAACATGCCAAAGTAAACACACAAATTGAAAATGGCAAACTAGCTCTTTGGTCCTTGACACTCTTAATTTAATTTAATTTCGAATGTCTTGAAACAATTTTCTAAATATCACATTTACTTCATTTTCTTAAAATTATTTCTATTTTGTTCAGTTGGTACTTTTTAAGAGAGAAAAAATGGATTCTCTCCAAATCTTGACTTGAAAGAAGGTAAAGAAAAAAAATCACTTTGACTTAATGGTTTTGTAAATAAAACTAATTATTATATGCTTAAATATTTTTTGAAGTATTTGCAAAAATATAGTGTATTATATAATCGTTCAGTCAACCATTAATAAGATAACCATTAATAAGATGTTTGAATATACCATCATTAGGACTGGACGGTCGCAGAGGTTGAATGATAGGTCAATTATTAATGTGATTAACTCTAATGTTAAACAACTTAAAAAGTAAAGTATGATTATCAATAATTGGGTTGTAATTAGGTTGTTGATAATAAAAAAAACTCACTCCAAAATCTATAAAGATAGGTTTGAAGTAAGGAGATGAGTGATTGCACTTATTGCGCTATTAATATCTTAATTATCAAACATTGAGTTAACTTTGACATCAGAATGTTTTCTACAAATGTTCCAAACGATGTGGACAAATGGCTACAAAAAAACTTGGAGTAGAACACAATTTTTGGATCCCTTAGACTACCTTTTAGATGTTGAATGTTGACATCGACCTTACACTTTGAAACATTTTGATACCCGTCATAAGGTCGAGTATTCAACAATCAACAAAAATCCTATGATGAGTACAAGGAACATGACGAGCAATGTCGTGGCGGAGGAGTTTGAGAATCACCCTAATCAATTACATAATATGAGAATCGACGATCCTCAAGGCTGAAAACGCAAGCGCTCAAGGGTCTATGCCCCCAAGCCTCAACACAACAACAACAATTCCAGCCTGCCCCAACCAGGCTCAAAGAAGACTTGTGCATAACAGTCACGAGGGCAGCACGAAAGCCAGAAGGGAGATCTCCTTAGTGCTAACGATGAATACAATCGGCTTGTTGCCTTTCATGGTAGCCATCATAGAGACTCATACGCCTTTAGTTCCCCAGTCTTTGAGATATACGACGAATTAACTGATCTAGATGAGAACCTGGGAATGTTCATCAACTAAATGGCCTTCGACACCATCTGGTGTGGTGCAAGGCATTTTCCCTTTCCCTCAAGAGAGAAACGTTAGAGTGGTTAAACTCTTTATCATCCAACTCCATTGGCAACTTCGTGGTTATTCGTTTGTTGAAACATTACAAATATTTTGAAATCTTAAAATTTTCCATAATGCTTAGTACCATCTTGGAATTCCATGGAAGCAAATTAGAAATGATGAATAATAATATATATTCACCAACATCAACTTGAATAATAATGTTACTTTTATTTTAATATTTGAATGATTTTCTTGTAGATTGAATGAAATAAAATAAAATCTACTGATTTATATTATTCCTTCATTTTCTCTTATCTCTAATTTAAATAATTTTGTAATCAAATTTGACACAGATTCTATCTAACTCAACCTATTTATTCCCTCAGGGTAATTCTCGAGTTCAACCATGCAAAGGAAAAAGTCTTCTGCTGATCTATGCCAACCAAACCGATGTTACCACCAACCTTTACCAATAATAACCCTTGAGTTAGCCAACTAATGATATATAAGAATAAATTCTTCAACAAATAAACAAGATTTGGGTGCGAATTGGTATATTGTTCATCTAAAATATGGCAAGGTTAGAAATGATGGTATAAATTAATGTAGATTATTCTATTCGAGCATGTAGATTATCGTTCGAATTAAATTTGCAAGTCCCATCTTCTACAATGCAGTTTTTTCTAATGGCAGCTTTACACTATAATCTATACAGGTTCAACAACAGTAAACTAACTGTTAAATCACTGCGCTATCAGCAACTGTGTCCTCTTCCATTCTTGCTCCATCTTCGTTTTCCCTCTCGTCTTTCTCAACCTTCAATCTCTGTTTCAGAAGAGTGAGTTTTATCTACAAATATAATTTATGTGGAAGCAACAAGAAGCCACAAAGATTAAGAACTACAAAATGCAAAAGGGAAGAAATGATAAAGAAATCCTAAAGTGACAACATATAAATTGTTGAAATCTTTCTTTATAATGCATCAAGCCAGACTAGGAAATTGAATGTTTCGGTAGCACCGATGCTGCAATCATTGGATACAAAGAAACGTCCACAATAATAAATGTGAGCCTAGGGAACTAAAATAGATCCTCTCCTAGTTAAGCTTCGGCCATGGATGAAAAATCCACATACACTAGTCCATACGCATACAATCTGACCCTAGATCCACACAGCAGCAATTGGGACCTTCAACTGTCTCAAAATCAAGTTTTGATTTTAATAAAATACAAAAGGCGAGCATAAGTCGAACCTGTTATGATATTCTTATCACCATAGGTCCTTACATGAAATTCATGCTTAAATTAGTCTATTTTATCTCATT